GGTACAATTATAACTACTATTACTACCATTCTTCCATTCCCTACTAACCAGCGGTAAGTTTCTGCACAACCTTCCGGTCGTCCCCAGTTCTCCTCCGAGGAAGGCTCCACAAGAAAAAGGCGACGGTAGTGTGCAAAATGCCCCTCGTGGACTCCTGGGCACTCGCTCGTAGTACTATGGATGATATCATATACTACAATATATATGTATATATATATATATATAGATATATATATATATATATACATATGTATATATATATATATATATGTGTGTGTGTATGTGTTTATTTATTGCTTGTATTTATATTTTGCATTATTTTGTATTTACAAATTAAATATTCATTGTACTTTATTCTACAAGGGCCCCCAAAAAAAATATGAAGAGCTACGTCTCTCTAAAGGCATGAATACAGGAACAAGAAAGCATCCCAAAGTTCCCTCACGGACTCCCCGGTGCTTCACCGCAGATTTCCGGCTCTCGGCTTTTGGGGCTTTGCCTTTTGGCATCTTCATCTTCCCAAAGAGGCTCTTTTGCTCCCGGTCTGAACTGAAGAAGGCCTTGGACATAGAGAGGACGCAGGACCTCGGCAGAAGTTCAGAGTTGAGGGTTCTAGGTTTAAGAGTTTAGGGGTTGAGGGGTTGAGGGGTTTAAGGGTTCAGTGGCTCAGGGGTTTAAGGGTGTAGGTTTATGGGCTTAAGGGTTCAGGGTTGAGGGTTTAGGGTTTGGGATGTCGGGTCCAGGATTTAGGTTTTGGACGGGTTTATCGGGTTTACGATTTCGGGCTTTGAGTTCAGTTCCGCCAGCCAGATCAAGGAAGCGTGGATCTCGATGTTTCACAGGAACAGTGAGTTTGCGCTGAATTCCAAGCTTCGTCCGGCAACGGCAACTACGAGCCGCTTGCAAAGCCCCTGACCAAAAGCGATGTCAACCCCCAAAACCCCGAAACTCCTAAACCTTGAGCCCTTAAGCCCTTAAGCCCTTAAGCCCTTAAGCCCTTAAGCCCTTAAGCCCTGAAAGCCTTAAGCCCTTAAGCCCTTAAGCCCTTGACCGGAACCCTAAACCTCAAACACGTCAAGGTACCCGCACAGATCTTGCTCCCCTGGCACGGACGAAGTTGCAACCTCTGCCACTGCCGCATCCAGGAGCCTTTGATTGTGTTGGGGCTATTTAGGGTTACCACTAAGGTGACAGCACTAGCTGCTATACATATATATATATATATGTATGTGTATATATGAATATGTAACTACACAGACATACATACATACATATACATATATATATATATATAACACAGGCTCATAAAGGTTTCTGCAAGGGCTTATATCAGAACTACACGGCCAAGGATTACAGGGTAACTTTAATTGTTTTCCGACCTTTCTGTGCCGCAGGTGGCTGGTCGTCGTCGATGCAATTGTCGCGGCCCGCCGCCGTCATAGTAGCCGCGGTGACAATGGCAAACGTTCAAGAAACAATCAAAAACGGAAAGACCCGATTAAGTAGTACCACCTAACCGGAGTTGCCAACACAACACCACAACCATCGCGCACACAGCGGCCGCCACTGCCACCACCATCACCACCACCGCCGCCATCGCTGACAACGACTGCCACAGTACCGCCACCAAGAAGCGGCAAACGACTGTGCAGAATACGACAAAACAAACAAAAATGACGACAATGATGATCACAGAGGTTAGGACTGCCACGCTGACTCGAAAGCCAATGATCGCATCACCTGAACCCTTAACTTTGCTCTAGAACTTGAAACTCGTGACGTGGTACCAGGCTACCAGGCCGCATCCAATCCATAATCAACCGAGAAGCTGATCGTCTTCATCCATGTCAGGACTGTCTGGATATCCTGCGCTCTTTGCGTCCTGCTTCTTGCCCTTCTTCCTCAGGTCGCAGGATGGTTCAGAGAGCTTGCAAAAAGGCAGGTTCCACGACTAGCTGACAGACAGGCTCTGCTCCTGCTACTGCTCTGCAGCATGTTTAAATTTTACTCGCTGATGTTCCTGGGAACTCCGTGCGATTCAACTGTAGCCCGTCGATGACCAACGTCTCTCACACTGTCTGCCAGCATCACAACCACTGCGCCTCACGATATTTGAGATTGCGATGACGAGCGACGACCAGCGACGACGATGAAGAAGAAAACGAATAAACCGAAGACGCCGACAACGCCGACGCTGCCAGCAACGACGCCGACGATACCGACGACATAGACGAGACCGCGATGGCGACGGCGAGGCGACCAACACCAAGACTGCGAACACTGCGACCACAACCCTTGCGGATTTTTTCTGACGACCCTGGCAACTGACTATGACGACGGCGAGCAGAAGAACAATCCAACAGCAGACAAAGAAGAAGTATCCACTGGCACTGCAAGCAGCAGCAGGAGCAGCAGCAGCAGCAGCACCACCACCACCACCACAACGACATACCACGACACCACTCACAACCCCCAAAACTCCCTCACCTCCAGGAACTTGCTGTGAGTGCATCTGCCCTTCGCAACACGACCTGGGGACCTCCGAAACCTGAAGTCTGCAATTAACAGGCCCAACCCGACAATCCTTCCGGTACCCCTTGCAGAAACCCTTCTTGCTACCACTATAGTGTGTATGTATATATATATATACACACAGTATATTATCATACATTTTGGTATAACATGATCAGTGTATTATAGTGTATTACAGTATACTAGAGTAGCCCTAACGGGAACCATGAACGGAGCTTAGCGTCTTCTTCTTCTTCCCCTTGGCTGCCTTTGAGGGCTCCGCAGATGGAGCCGGCTCCGCAGTCTCTGCGAGCTCGGACCCCGAAGAGTCTGCCAGCGCTGAGAAGCCACATGGAGCCTGCCAGGAAAAATGGGTTCAAAGTCGAACGCTTGGGTTTATGTTTTCATGGAGCCTGCTAGGAAAAAGATGGTTCAAAGTCGAGTTTAGGATTTTGGGTTTAGAGTTTGGGCTGTTGGTCTTGGGTTTTCGGATTGAGGAGTTTTGGGGTGTGCCAAGATGCGAAGCATCGAAGATCGCAACACCTCCCTGAAGGTCTGAGTCTTCCAAACCCGTAGAAAGGGGGGAGGTCTTGGCGGCCACGGTTTCCAGCGCACTCTCTGGAGCCCAGAGGGAAGCTGCTCGAGTCGAAGGTCGGGCCAAGCACGATTTACTTGGAGTAAGTAGAGTCCTTATGGGGTACCTTAAAGGGTTCTATAAGAGATCTATAGGGTTTGGGGTTTAAGGATCATTGGACGTAGTAAGTAGGGTTATAAGTACCTTAATTGGGGTTATAAGTAGTTGTAAGTGTAGTTATCTTACTTCGAACCCCCAATTACTAGGTCCCATGATCCTTGAAGTAGGGCTTTGGGATTAGGCTTCAGCGTTTTGGGAATCAGGGTTTATGGCCCCAGAAATTACGATTGCGGATCTGGGGAATGTCGTTTTGTGCCTTCGAACCAGATGGACGCTTTGTTCAATGATCCAAAGCTTGTTGGCTAAAGGGACCCATTATACTATACTTAGAATAAGGAACCCCCAAAATAGTATAGGTAATGATTTAGGCCCCTAAACTAAATCCTAAAGACAAGAGGAGCTTCAACTGTGGATCCTTGGATGTCGCGAACACCCCGCTTACCCGATCTCTTGAAGCCTGAGCCCCGGACTCCTCTACCGGAGTGAACAAAACACTGTGGGTTTAGGGTTTAGGGGTTAGGGTTCAGGGCTTAATTAAAGTCTAGGGATGTAAGCTGGCAAGCTTGGACCGCCCATACTTAGAAAAACTTAGCCAACAGCATCCTCAGCACAAAGACACATAGTTTACGCTGAACCCCCAAAAAATACCCCAAACCCTGAAAACCACAAAAACCCCTCAAACCCTAAACCCTAAACCTTAAACCCTGAACCTTAAACCCTAAACCCTAAATCGTTGCGAAGCGAGGCGGCCTTCGTCTGAGGCTCTTCCTCGCTGACATCCTCAGGAGCCTCCCCGACTGCGTCGTTTTGCAGCTTGCGCAGCTGCTTCATTGCAACGGAGTCTAAAGCCCAAGTTGTAGCACTAAACACCAATCTTACGCCAAATGCACCCTAATTCTTGCATCCTAAGCCCAATATCGCAACGGACCTCCCTCAGGAGCTAGGTCTGACTTCGCATGTAGGTTGTCGCAAGCACTGCACTCGTACTTTTCAGATACTATAGTACAGTGTAGCAAATTACAGCACAAAAAAAGGTACATGTACAATTTTGTTCGTATAGTATACCTCTAGTATATTTACATATAGTCTATTTCTAGTCCATTATTGTAAGCTGCAGCTGTAGCTCGTCGTCTCCGGCTCGGGATTCGCTGGAGCCAAAAGCACTGCAGGCGTAAATGGTGTCGGCGCTCGGGTCAAAGAAAAAGAATAGAAACCGGGGTGCCTTTTTGGGTCCTTATTATAATCCGGCACCTAATAGTTAGGGTACCCAAAAAGGGACCATAAGTTTGACAACCACCCAAGCATAGAAACCGGAGAGCATGTCGACACCCAGATGGAAATTGGCCGAAGCAACGCTGGGCGGTTTAGGGTGTTGCAGTTTGGTGCGGAGGCCTTGTTTTGAGTGGTTGTAGTGTCCAGGGACCAGGGCCCATGACGTGTTGTGCGAAGTGCTTGAAACAGGCCACCTAAGAAAGCTTTCGATGCGTAGAGATGAGGGCGGACCAGAAGTGTTTCAGAGAATGACAGCGAAGCAAACAACAGAAACACGTACAGCTTGTGCAATCTGCAGGATTGCAAGGAAAGGCTGTGGAAGAAAGAAGCTCGGAAGGCCAGGATGAAGGTCGTCTATGCACAACCCTAAACCCTAAACTACAATTATAATAAGGAGCCCGCAAAATAGTGTAGGTAATTATTCAAGCCCCTACACTCGGGTTCATGTAAGACCTACACCCCTAAACCATCAACCCCCTAAACCCTAAACCAGCCCCTACACGCAATGGGCGGCGGTGCAGTCCTCTGCCAGCATGTCTTGCTCATCCTCAGCAGGTCTGTAATATAGAGGACGTGATTTCTTAGACTAGGGCGTTGGGGTATGATACAGTATAAATGTGTGGGTTTGCTGGGGGTCTTTAAGGGGGATCTTACGAGAATTTAGAGCTCAGACTGACTCTTGGAGGTTCGAGGGCTCAGAGCTAGGCCCATCTATCGAAGGCGAGACTTACGATGGTTCTGGGTTTAGGGTTTAGGGGTTTAGGGTTCAGGGTTTAGGGGTTTGGGGGTTTAGGGGTTTAGGGGTTTAGGGTTTAGGGGGTTTCGAAGAGCGTTTTCGTAGAGGAAGCATTCAACTCCTACCTGCAGATTTCATGCCCACACTGCCTCGCGCTTACAAATAGGGCCTCTTGTCACTACTCTTGTGATGCCTAAAGCCGCGACTTACAGGCTGTAGGGCGTTCGTTGCCAGGCCTCTTCGACATCCTGCTTCTCGTCGTCTTCGTCTTCATCCTGCTCCAAAAAAATCGAGCTTTGACGCTCAAAGCTGTGCAGTAGCCCCCAAACCTACTCCAATCGCACAAGCTCCCTTCAACCCCTCGGTGCACGGAGAGTTTAGCAAAACGCGTGACGCCCGCCTCCTCGGCTTCCACAGCCTGCTCTGTGGCTGAGCGTGCCCTCGGCCGAAGCGTCGCAGTCTAGAACCTACCATCACCATCCAAAGAGTGCATTCCTGCTTCGAGAGCAAACATCTGAAAACGCTGCATCTTTTAATTAGCCTTTGGGTACTGAAAAGATCCAAAACCTTCAACCCCATACACCAAAGCCCCAAGAACTTTCAGCTCTTGCTCTGAGTCCGATGCCTTGGAGGTGGCGCCTCCGAAACCGGACATGGAGCTGAAAGCCGTAAATTTGAGGGTTTGCGGTTTAGGGCCGAAAAAAGCACCCTAAGCCGGAGTGTGCAATTCGCGCACTGGCAATATAGGCAGCTGTGTAAGTCTCCTGTCACACATATCAATGCAGAGCTTGATACATTCGCAACACGCACATCACGTGTCCATCCATCCATCCCTCCATCAATCCATCCATCCGTCCGTCCATGCATGCGTCCCTACATTCACACATACATCCGTGCAGACATCAAACAAACCAACAAACAAACATACATACACACATACATACATACATAAATACATAAATACATAAATACATACATGCCGTTAGCTACCATCGCATACCAATACACTACGTATGTTGCAGCACGTTGCAGCACATGACACAACGGCACATTACATCACATTAGGTTGCCCTACATTCCATTACATACATACATTCATACAGACAGACAGATACACCGACCTACCTAGAAACATATTTTGCAACGTGCAGCGGTTCGGAAGGAAGGACCAACACAACTCCCAAAGAAGATGGAAGAAGCCAACTGTGATAGCCGAAAGCATCAGCTCCTTCAAAGCCTAAAACCTGAATCTCTTGGAACTCCCGTGGATAAACCCTAAACCCTAAACCCTAAACCCTAAACCCTAAACCCTAAACCCTAAACCCGTGGATAAACAGGCCCTGAGACCCCGTTCAAAAGCTGAGAGTTTCCGATTCCTAGCTGCGAAACCCCATGCGCCGGGATCGTCCCTCCTTCGGCGGGTCCCCAAGGGCGGCGAGGAGGGATCGGTCTACAGCCTCAGCAAGCAAAGGCCCTTTATCATAAACAGTTTTGAAAGAACCCGTATTGGCAGTGCTAGTGCCACTATCCATTGCCTCATGAGTGGCACCATCATCATCATCATCATCATCATCATCATCATCATCATCATCATCAGTATTGTTATTCTTAATATTGTGACTACTACTCTTGATATTGTTCAAACGATTATTGCTACTGTCGTTTACGAAACTACAACTCTGGTGCCCATGGCGGGGCTTGGGGCTTTGGGTGGGCTAGTGTCAATGTTAGTAACGAGTCGCAGCAGATGCAGAACAGCTTGCTAGATGTCACAAGCAGCCTTTGTTGTTGTTAGTCTTTCAGAAAACGTAGTTGTTCTGGCAGTAGTGGCAGTAGTAGTCTCCGTCGTCGCAGGTGGTGGTGCTGGTGGTGCTGGTGGTGCTGGTGGTGCTGGTGGTGCTGGTGGTGCTGGTGGTGCTGGTGGTGCTGGTGGTGCGGGTGGTGCTGGTGGTGCTGGTGGTGCTGGTGGTGCTGGTGGTGCTGGTGGTGCTGGTGGTGCTGGTGGTGCTGGTGGTGCTGGTGGTGCTGGTGGTGCTGGTGGTGCTGGTGGTGGCAGTAGCAGCAACAGCAGCAGTCATTCGGCTTGCGAGGACGGGAAGCGGAGAGCCCAACTGAAACTACATTGGGTTTTAAAACCTGGTAAACGAATCTTACCGATACCTTCTGCCCTCTGGGGCTACAGCTGTCAGGCGCATGGCCTTGCCGCAGGGTTTAGGTTTCGGATTTTTAAGTTCAGGTTGTCTGCGATCTAGCACCTCCTTCTTCATGAGTATGATACAGTTAAAGAGCGATCGTGTCGACTCTGATGTGTCGACCGCAAACACTGTGGCAAACAAACTTGTCATCAAATGAAGAAGCAAACAAAACATTGACAACCGTGACAGCAGCACACAAACGAAATCTGCAGTGGACTGTGGCTTTTAATACTGCGATGACGATTACCGTGGCCTCGACGGCCCCAATCAGCACTATCACTACTAAGCATGCACCTACCAACAGGAACATCAGCACTGCTGTCATCCCTAGTCTGTTTACAGACGTACCACGAACCGACAACTACCACTGCAACTGCCGCGACCACGACCAATACTTACTGCTACTGCACCATATACGAGCGACGGCTGCTACTGCTACTACTACTCCTCCTCCTCGTAGTACTACTCCTCCTCCCCCTAGCAGTAGTACTCCTCCTCGTCCTAGTAGTAGTAGTAGTAGTAGTAGTAGTAGTAGTAGTAGTAGTAGTAGTAGTAGTAGTAGTAGTAGTAGTAGTAGTAGTAGTAGTAGTATTAGTAGTAGTAGTAGTAGTAGTAGTAGTAGTACTAGTAGTAGTAGTAGTAGTAGTAGTAGTAGTAGTAGCAGTAGTAGTAGTAGTCGTCGTGGTGGTGGTAGTAGTACTACTACTGCTACTACTACTGCCACTGCCACTGCCACTGCTACCACTCACTGGCACTACTTGGAGGGCAGCATCATGACGCGCAGAAGGCCTCAAGCGGCTCCAGCAGCTCCACGCTCTGGGCGGCAGGGGCAAGAATATGCAAAATGGTTTGCATGGGGTTTAGGGTTTAGGATTTAAGGGTTTAGGGGTTTAGGGGAAGTCGTTTTTGGATTGGTATTTGGGATATTGGGGCTATGGTTCGGACGGCCATGTGCTCGCCTTCAGGTTGCTGTCCCTACACCAAGCCTTCAGCCTCAAAGTCCGGAGTAGGGTTTAGGGTTTAGGGCCAAGAGGACAACCAAATGCACACTCATCAGTATTCCTGACACGAACTACTATGCACTTACGAAGGCATTCATATACAGCCTACTCAGGGCCTGCTTCATGTGTAGGGCTTCGGTTCGCGTGAAGGGTTTGCTTGTAAACTGGGAAGGAAATAGACGCGATGCCTTTATGCTGCAGGCTTCGGGAGTTTGGGGTTCGGGTCTGGAGATTTAGGACTTCAGCGATGCAGGCCCGAAGCGAAGGTCGTTGTCACGAGTAGATTGCAGGCACGCTCTTACAGAGCAGTCGGAGCCCCTAGGAATCCAAGACCCAACGCCCTGATACCAAAGCCCTCCACCCTGGACCCTCATTAGGATGCCTTTGGCAAACATGGCAAATACCAGGTCCTGGGAATTACCGGATGCAGCTGAACAGCTTTGGAGATCAGGCTCCACTGCCAGGAGAAGCCACAAGGCACTGTATGGGCTTTGGAGTTTGGGCCTATGGGAGCTTCTCAATAGTAAGGCCCTCGCCAATAAGCCCGCTAAGCGCATACGGGCATTCAGCTCAGGAGTTTTTGCTTACGCTTAAGGTTTAGGGCTTATAGGGTTTAGGGTTTCGGGCACCGGGAGCTCGAGCCTTGTCCAGAAGCCGGTCCAGCAACAAATCGTCCGCTGCTTTCACCGTGGCCTAGACAAGGGCACGTCAGATGCACCACCCCAACCCTACACTCCAAAACCAGAAAAGCCTAAGCCCTGTACCGTAACCCTGGCTCCCGAAACCATAAGTGAAAACCCTAAACGGCTAAACCTGAACCCAACACGAGCGTTGCACCCCGAGATAGGGATGCTGATCCCATAGGATTAGTATGGACGTATTCGAGGCTTTGGGTTCCCCTGCAACGGTGCTACCGCAAGCTGGATGGACCCCAATAGCCGACAATCTGCTGAGTTTGGAAACCATGGCGTTTCTGTGAACTCTGTATCATCGTGCAAAGAACCTGATACAAATGCAAAGCGTGTTCAGGCCACTTTGCCTGCCTAGTACTACATACTCCAGAGCTTCAGAGGAGGGAGCAACCCCAGGACCCTAGATTCAAACCCAAAGCCCTCAACCCTGAACATACAACCCTGAGCCCTCAGCCAAAGAGGATCCTAGGTGCCGTCAATTTCTTCAAACCACTGTGGGGCATTTCGAGGGCAGTACAGGGCCTCAAGTGGTTGAAGCTCTAGCAGATTCGCCAACAAATGTTGTTGAAGCGCTTCCTCAACCCCAAAACCATACGATACAAAAAACTGATGCAAGAGGACTGCCAATCGATTCCCATGCTTGCGTGGCTGTTTCGGGGCCCTCCTTCTTCAGCAGATTTCTTTCCAACCTGGCATCAATTTAGGATTCGGGCTTTGGGCTTCAAGGCTGCATGTCAGTTTACGGCTTGAGCAACGCTCCGCTACAAGGCTCATCAAAAAAGACTGTGTCTCTGATTCAAGACCAGTCTTAGCGACGGCTTGAGGTATCGATGTTCTGCATAATGAGGAGAAATTCCCCCAAAACTCACATCCCCAAAGCCCGAATCACAGAGCTTCAAGACAAGCAATAGCTCACGACACCAAGTCGTCATCCCGCTTTCGAAGCTGCCACATCTTGGCTTGGCAGTATAGCGTTCAGGATCCAGGGCGCAGGGCTGCTGGCACTGAAGGATCACGAGAAAAGGAACAACAGCAAGCACAAAAGCAATGACAGCAACAATCAGCCTCCGACAGTCATCAGCGACGGAAGCACCATCTCCAGCAGCATGCAGGAACAAGAAAACAGTCCTAATAGAACTACTACTGCATCACGAACACCATGATGCTGGCGATCGTTCTGATCATCAAAACGATCAGCATCATGCAAGGTAGCGAAACAGAAGCGAAGGAAACGTGGTCATCGTCTTAGTCATGATAACCCTGCAGGCAATAGTCCGCATAAGCATGAGTATGACAGGCATCATGCTCATGTTCATTGAATGCACATACATACGAAACCCAAACCCCTATCCTCCAATCCCGCATCCTCAAGTCAAGCCTGAATCCCAGATAAATAGCCATGAACTGCTCAGCAGCCTCAAGGAGCCCACACAAAACCCTTGTAGCCGTAGTCTAGACAGTGAGCACCCTCACTTAACCATTGTTAAAGCCCTGATAACATCTTTGCAAAACCTTAGAATCACGCTTGTCCAACTATCGAGGCGAGAACGGACACGGCCAGCGGCCGAGCAGGCGCAGAGTTGGTTCTGCCGACGATCTCGAGCACCGTCTGCAAAGCCATGAGTTGGCGATTTAGAGCTTAGGGCTTTGGGTTTAGAGTTTAAGGTCTAGCGAGTTCAGGACCTAGGATGGTTTAGGGTCTAGCGTATAGGACCTCTAGGATTAGGAATTTTGGGGCCCCGGGCGTTTTAGGGTGCAGTGTAGAGTTTAGGGAGTTCGGAGCTGAGGGCTGAGGGCGCGAGGACCGGGCTTCTCCGTTGTTCATCAGGTTTGCCCTTCCAGGAAGCAGCTGAATCGGGGGTTTCCGAAAATAGGGGATCCTGATATAGTACCCTAAATAGTAGGATCCTTATTATCAGGACCCCCAAATAGGTACCCCTAATTTTCGGAAACCCCCAAAAGGCACCATCCCTGGTTAAGAGATGGCCCGCATGCAGCACGAAGGTTCGCCAGCAGAAAACTGTACTGCATGGGCCTCAACAGTTTGTGGTCTGGTATGGTATGACTGTACAGGAACCAATTTTTGGTCTGGCATGGCATGACTGTCTAGGAACCATACAGGGATAATGTTGCTACTCATTCCGACCGCTCTAATTAGCAGGGCCTCCGCCTCAAGCACCAGCGGAAAAGAGACGCTGAACTCAGCAACGTCGGCTCTGCTTCCTGAAAAGGCTCCCTGGCCCCGAACAGGGGGCGAAATATGGTACTTGACGATTACCTATACTATGTGGGGGTTCCATATTATAACTATAGTATACTGGGCTCCGAAACCCTCTTTTGATTTTTAAGCCTATAAACGTGGGGTTTAGGGTCTAGACTTACGAATGTTTAGTTTTTGTTGCAAGGTCTGGTGAGCCTCAACCTTTGCATCTTGATGACTCTTCATTGCAATTCTGACCTCCAGATCCCACTGCACAGACATGCCCCTAAACCCTCAACCCCAAACCTTAAACCTAAACCCTTAACCCGAAAAGCACCGAAAACATCTGTTTCTTCTCGCAATCGTTCGTCAGGCAAGTTTCTATCTTATCTCGCCTGGTGTCTGCGGGCAGCTTGCGCAGTCACCAACGCAGAGGATTTCGGGACGTCGTAGTGGGGTTTCTAGAGAAGTGCAAGGCAAACAGCAGAGCTAGGGGATTTCAAACAAAGCTCGAAAATGATACTTGCACTGAAGACTCCAGTTTGGAGCAGCTCCACTCAGTGTAACTCGGGCCTGGTAAGGCGGAAGATTCTTCCTGAATTCACCTGAGGCATGCTGCACGTCTCAGAGTCCCTTTTGGGCACGATAATATTCCACAAAATCGTCCAGTACCACAGGCCAAGCCGGGTTCTCGTCGTACGTGGACAGATCCGCCGGGACTTCGGTCGCCAGCTTCAGGACCATCATCCACAAATCCCGGGGAATAGCTCTCCCCTTCATGTTCTTGGCGGCCCAATCCTGAGAACTTTTTCTACAAGCGTGGATGAAAGAGAACGACCTGCCTTATACCGTGAAGACCGCAACATATCTACAACCAGAATGCACTGCCACATGACCCGATGATACCGGCGGAGAAACTGGGCCTAGCACTGACTGACATGACGCCTCAATTGGCGTGGCCTGCTCTTGCAACCTGCATCGTAGATGTAAACCAGGCCTTCAAGCATACCTGAAATAAAATATAAATATACCACAAGCACCGCCGAGGTTCGCAGAAGTCCTCTCGCAGGGACCAGTTGGGTAGGAGCAGGGCCCAGTACTGCGCTGCTTCCTCCAATGGAAGGACCTTGCAGAGTTTAGATTCATGCGCTCAACCTTTGGACTATTTCCACTATGACGTCGGTCATCGTAAAATTACGGCATGGTACTGATTACCTGGGGCAGCGTTGGCCTGCTTTCTCTTCTGCTTCTTCTCAGTCTCTTTTCTGGCTGTTCGCACCATGACCGGGTACAATTAGTCTGGTAGTGTGCCTATTCATATTGCTACTGCTGCCCATGGCAGAGGAAGTTGTTAAACAGGAACTACCAAAGACACATAGTATTACGACTGCTGGCTGCAGCATCAGCTAAGAGCTTCTGCCACTCTCTAGGAGCTACTGCCTCAATACTGTTACTGCTACTGCTGCTGCTACTGCTATACTACTCCTACTCCGCCGCCCTGACCCCACCCTATAACCTGTCCAGCTGGCATGTTCGTGATGCTATTCCAGGCCTGCTTCAGATCCTACAATGCCTTCTATGGCCGCTCTGGTGCGACTCTACCAGGTCTCAGCAAGTGCATGGGTTGCTTAAGCACCTTTGGCATCGCATCCGCACCACGCCTGACACACCGATCTCCCTAAAAGGTGACCTCCTTTGGTCTGCTGTTGCTGGGGGAATACCATCCACGGTCCAAGCCCCATACTTGCGTGCACAACTCCAATACCTGCTACAACACCTTGCCCCTGGTGATACGCCAGGTCCGTGGGAATGGTGTACAACAGGGGACGCTGCTACACCTGCTTCCGAGCAGGCCGACTTGACGATTCCCATGCCAATAAATCTGCCATTGCAGCCTGCTCCTACCGCAGGTGGCCTATGGGGATGGGGTGACTCTGCCTTCAGGCCAAGACTTCGCACTGCACCATCCACCTTGTATATGTACGTGCATGATCATTCCACAGGCCGTACACCGGCCGTTGGACCACACATTTCATGCACGTGGCTGGCTGCTGCTGAGGAGGCCTATCAGCTCACCATTGAGCCTGATGCCAGACCTCCCTACCCATGCCTGTATGAGGTACGATCCATCGTCTTGCATCGGACTTCCGGGGACCCTCACAGCTACCACGCAGTGCATCGAAAACTGTGCGAAGATGTGCTGACACCTTTTGCACCAGCACTGACTGCAGCTGACCTGCGTGATATGCAGCCATGCATCTTCGTACTGCGACGACGCTCTGGCCAGGTACCCTGTGGCTGATTGACTGTGGCGACTCCATTAGTTAACGTTTTCCAGCATGTGCAATCGACACTTGCTGTAGTTGCATCTGGCAGTTGCTGCGGCTCATGAGCACAGCATCGAGCTCCTTGAGAGCTCCGGCATAAGACCGTGCTTCTCGCTAGGTGGACTTGATCCGCTGCGTGGGGAATGAATATACTACTCCTACTACTACTCCTCCTCCTGCTGCTGCTACGACTACCACGTTTTAGTGACCGAACCCTCAGCCGCGAAGGGTGTAAGATCCTTCCTGAATCTTACGGAAGCCGGGACTACGACAAAATCCTGCAACCTCCAACTACCTGACAGCTACGTCCCCATAGCGGCCTTGCAGGGAGGGTCCAAGGCCACCCCAAAGGTGTACGTGTACACATCTGCGAGAGCCTGTCCAGAAACCACCTGGCCGTCGAGGGTGTAGGGCTTTGGGCTTTAAAGGTTTTGGGCTCTTGGAAGCGAGCTGAACGTTTGTATATTGCTCCCGGCTTTGGCTTCCGGGTGACGGCATGAAGAAGCTTTGATCGCTCCGAGGATGCGGTCTTGGATTTCAGGGGGTTTCTGGCGGGGCTTGTGGACTTCAGGTTCGAGGGAAGCTGTTTGGTGTCGTCCGGTGCAAGTTGCAAATATTTTGCTGAGCATTCCTGGCCGCAGAAACTCATAACGTAGTAGTAGTAGTAGTAGTAGTAGTTGTTGTAGTAGTAGTAGTAGTAGTAGTAGTAGCAGGAGTAGTAGTAGTAGTAGTAGTAGTAGTAGTAGTAGTAGCAGTAGTAGTAGTAGTAGTAGTAGTAGTAGTAGCAGTAGTAGTAGTAGTAGTAGCAGTAGTACTAGTAGCAGTCGTAGTAGCAGTAGTAGTAGTAGTAGTAGCAGTAGTAGTAGTAGTAGCAGTAGTAGTAGTCGTAGTAGCAGTAGTAGTAGTAGTAGTAGTAGTAGTAGTAGTAGTAGTAGTAGTAGTAGTAGTAGCAGTAGTAGTAGTAGTAGTAGTAGTAGTAGTAGTAGTAGTAGTAGTAGTAGTAGTAGTAGTAGTAGTAGTAGTAGTAGTAGTAGCAGTAGTAGTAGTAGTAGTAGTAGTAGTAGTAGTAGTAGTAGTAGTAGTAGTAGTAGTAGTAGTAGTAGTGGTAATAGTAGTAGTAGTAGTAGTAGTAGTAGTAGTAGTAGTAGTAGTAGTAGTAGTAGTAGTAGTAGTAGTAGTAGTAGTAGTAGTGTAGTAGTAGTAGTAGTAGTAGTAGTAGTAGTAGTAGTGGTAGTAGCAGCAGTAGCAGCAGTAGCAGTAGTCGTAGTAGTAGCAGTAGCAGTAGCAGCAGCAGTAGCAGTAGTGTAGTAGTAGTAGTAGTAGTAGTAGTAGTAGTAGTAGTAGTAGTAGTAGTAGTAGTAGTAGTAGTAAGCATTCTGCGAAAACGTCATTGATGCTCTTAGTGGTTGGCAGTAATTCCGGAAAATACCACTACAACCTAAGCCCCAAACCGTATAACCACCTCAAACGACAGAAAAGTCCTGAACCCCAAAATCCTGAACCCCGAAAGTCTTGAACTCCCAACTCCTAAACCCCGAAGGTCTTGAACCCCAAATCATCCCATTTTGCGAAACCTGCTCCCGGAGCTGCGCCATCTTTGTCCGCAGGTCCGCAATGTTGTCGACCTCGAGGGCGGCACAGCCACAGATGAACCTCAGACTGCAGTTCGAGGGAAAGCGGGGGTGTTGAGCTTTATTCTTTGAGATGTAGGGTTTTAGGGTTTAGGATTCTGGGCAGATTCGCAACGCACTTGCGGCATCGCGAATACTATCTTATTCATCATCAGCCCACATCTCTGCTTCATCTGTCGAATCAGAATGCTGTGCTGCAATGCTAGTCGTCCTTCCCTTTTAGTTTTCAAGGCTTCGGCGGGCCCCTGGCATGGACTGTTGGCTTAGGGCCTACGTAGTACAGGGTTGAAGGTTGTTGGGGTTGGGCTCAGGACTTTGGTGGGAATCGCACTTGGGTATTGGGTGTCAGGAAAGCCAAGGAAGAGGCGAGCTTTCGGTGATCAGCTACAGTCGCTACAAAGCCGACAGCCGCCAAGCAGCAAAGTCTTGAGATATTGCACCCGATAGACGTCAAACGAAAGGAGTATCAAGAGCTCACAACAGCCACCGTCACTGTAAGCCCAAAAACAACGCACCGGCACAAAAATACATTCGAGCTGCTACCTAGATTCATCAGTCCTGGACTCCGCCTCTCCAATGTTAGGATTATATGACATCTCTAAAGCAACACCCGACTAAACCTGTGAACATCTTACACCCTGAACCGTGGACCTAAACCTTCAACCCTAAACCCTAAACCCTTAAACCCTTAATCCCTTAATCCCCTAATCCCCCAAACCCCTAAACCCTGCTACTATCCATCCACAACCAGCTCTGCCCAGTGGCTCCCGCCGACGGAATACGCCCATCTCTGCCGCGTTGCAGGCAGATGCCAGGGCCAGAGCAGCGACATCTGTGCCAGGATCCACCTCCCAGACCCCGGGAGGATCTGGAAAGTAGGGTTTAGGGTTTAAGGTTCAGGATCTAGAAAGTAGATCCCCTAATTTGGGGCCATATACTACTAAGGGTACTTTATAGGAATCCCCATTGAGGGATCTACCTTTTTGGATCCTACGGGGGTCTGGGCTTGCACCAGGGCAGAAAGGGGCCGAAAACCGATAAGAACTTGCTCAGGCACGTACCGTCACCATGGCTGCGGGTCGGCATGCGCCATCGAGGTTGAGGGGCTTAATATAGGAGCCTCGATAATTGGAATAGGGTTTTGCTGTGTATATTATACTATACTTATAATAAGGTTATTAAAGCCCCTTTGTTAAGCGCCGCCCTTGAGTTTCGCGTTCGGCTGTTGAGTTTCAATGGCTTATGTTTATTGCGCTCTGTCCATCCAAGGATCCACTTTTCCGACCAGACCCTGTCCCAAATCCTGAAAGAAGCCTGCAATAGAAGATGCGGGAGTTCCCGAAAATAGGGGACCCTACTAGGGGACCCTAATATAGTATCTTAAATAATAGGATCCGTACTATAAGGACCCCCAAATTAAGGACCCCCGAAAAGAGTACCCCCAATTTTCGGAAACTCCCATATTGGCTTCAGGGCTTGGGCTTTGGGTTTCACGGCTTTAGCTAGAGAGATTCATCAGTCTCACCTGGTATCAAGTTGTGAGGAGACCTCTGATTCTGTTGATGGACAAAATCCTGCATTACCCTTTATAAGGAATATACCATAATTCCCATAAATTTGAGTCCTTAGGGTCATGCAGGATTTTGTCCATCAACAGTTCGACAGCATGAGTTCAAGCCCCACCCACCAGGAGCCCGGTTCAGATGGAGCCGAACCCCCCAAAACCGAAGCAATAAACCTGAAATTCTCAACACTAACCCGGATGCGTCACCCCCCGGCGGTCCACCTCCAAGTCTCTGAAGAACTCCAAAAACTTCTCGCCAGCGACACCATCCGGCCCACCCGGATGGTCCGCTGGAGGCAGCTCGTCGGCATACTTCTGGTAGAGCAGCTTTAGAGCCTTCTTGCTGACACCCCAAACCCCAAACCTTCACCCCCAAATCCTAAACCCAAAGCCCGTCAACCCCGAACCCCAAGCCAACCTAAACCCTGAACCCTAAACCCAAAGCCCGTCAACCCCAAACCCCAAGCCCCTCAAAGCCTAAACCCTCAACCCTAAAGCAGCTCAAAAGGCCTTCTTGTTGACATTCGGCTGTCGGACACTCTTGCGAAGCATCCTGGAGAAAAACTCTCAAAACCGGGGATTCCGTTTTGGGGTCGTTGCACTTTTGTCAAAACAGAAAGCTGTTTGTCAGGAGACATTCTCAAGTCCTAGCCTCCGGGCCCTCAACATCCGCAGCTATCCGCAATGCCTCAAAACCCCTTCGAAAAGACCTTCAACCGTAAACCCCAAACCCCAATACACTGAACCCCAGACCCTAAACCCTGAACCTAAAGCCCCAATACCCTAAACCCTAACCCTAAACCCCTCCTTGGGACTGCGTACTGCTCTGTGGGCATGGCCACCATGTCATGGAGGTCCACAGCGAAGTCCGCGCCGTTGATGGACACCGTCCCACGGCGCTGGCCCCGCCGGACGAGGGTGTTGATCTCGGAGCTGACAGCCTCAGGGCTGAGGAGGAGGACACTGGCATTGATGAGAAGAGGCATATAACTGCATGGAGAGTGAAATCGCCTGAATTAGAACTACCACTCACATTAGCACACCAGCACTAGCGCTAGCGAGAGGAGTCACCACCACAGCTAGCAGCACCAGCCGCCTCATGGAATGGCCGCCAGATGCCCGGAGACCCAAAGGCACGGTCCCGGAACTCCCAGCGTGGGGGAAGCGCCATCTCGAAGGACCGGTCGCAGTCTGCATCCCAGGTCTGGAAGTCCATGGTGCTGACCTCTGGGAGATGCTTTACCTTAGCCTCTTTTTGGGGCTTTCGAATTTTTAGGGCCTGAGGGATTCAGGGGTAAAGCTTTGCAGGTTGGGGCTTCTTTACGGCTTCGGGTTAAGAAGGAGAAGGTTTTGGGCATGATGACCTTGGTGTCCGTGACCCTGGTGACCTTCACCGTCCTGAGGCAGTGCCTCCTGTCACCCTTGATGCAGAGGCTGCCCGTCCTGGCAACTTCCGAGCTCAACCGAAGGGAGTGGGCCCAGGGCAGCCCGCTTGGAGTGCCATGGGCTTTGAAACATCCGAGCAATCTGAGCAAAATCAGCGGGCGAGCATGAGACAGTGTCACACTTACGGAGCGGCTTCTCATTTTCTGAACACACGCAGACACACCGGGAAACGGGAAGTGTGGAGTCTGAACTGAACATACAGCTCTCGTTCGGCTTAGAACCCTCAATGAGAGCCTCTGTCAGCAGCTCGATCAGCTTCTTTCCTTCGTCGCCCTGACAAACAATGGAGGCACTACAACAAAATTGGGCGCCAAGCAGTTACAACAGCATCTGAGGGGGGGAATTCTGGCAGAACCGAAGGATTCTCAAAGAAAATCAGGCCCCTGGTTGTCCAAGCTCCTAAACTATGGGAGTTTCCGAACATAAAATAGTACCCTAAACAGTAGGATCCTGGTTATAGGGACCCCAAAATAAGGTACCCCCTAATTTTCGGAAACTCCCCTATCTCACAACCCTCAACTGCGGAGGGACTCGGGTTTTAATTTTGGCCGCGTGCTTAGACCCACCAGTTCCAAAGACAGCTGCAAGCAGGCGTTGGGGGAGTGCCTCGTCGACTTTGTGCGACTCTAGGCTATGATCTTCCATAGTGCAATGACTCTCTGAACGCTCCGTTTTCGGAGGTTCTGTCCTCTGACACGCCTTAACAAAACCTCCAAAGCACACTCGGCTACCCAAGATCTTGAAGTCTTGATCTCGATGGTCGCTGCACTCCTCCTCATCCTCGTCCTTCTCTTCCTGCTTCTCCCGCTGCTCTAGCATCTGCTGCTGCATCTCCTCGTCCTACTAGAAGGAATATTGGTATGATGATAGCGACGACTGCTGATGCTGCACACTTGCTGTCTGATGCTGCTGGTGCTTGCTTTTTCAGTATGCAAGCTTCTCCCCCCTGACTCTATTCCTCCAGTCGCTATCCCCCCGAACCCTACACCCCGAAATCCTGCTTACTAACCTTACCAAGTCCTGATCTATAACCCTTATGGACCCCTGTAAAGGAACCCCTATTGTAGTTTTAGTATGGGTAACTATTTTGGCCCCTACATAACGGGCATTAGAAGAACCAGAATCAGAGCCCCTGCGGCCTGAAGCACTCGGCGAAAGTCCGCCAGGGTCTTCACACTGTGCTTCCTTGGGGCGGGTCTGGGCTCGCAGGACTTCATATCGACTTGCAGAGCTTCGGGCACAGGGCTTTACTTGGAGGATCATGGGACTTAGTAAGTAGGGTTATAAGTACCTTGACGGGGTTTATAAGTAGTTATAACTATAGCTACCCTACTTATAACCCCAATTACTAAGTCCCATGATCCTTTAAGTAGTAAGGGGTTTGGAAGTCTCGCGGTTTTGGGTTTTGGGTTTTGCGAGCTTCAGGTTATGAGTTCGGGGCTTTGGGCGTCTTTCAGGGGGTCCAAGTGCTCCACCCTCGTCTAGCCTTCCTTTACGTTGGGATTGCCGGACGCTGCCGGGGCTCTATTCAGGGTTCTACTACAGTAGAAGCCAGAAAGTTGGAACATGGCTTTAGGAGGATTAATGCTAGGATCCCTTATACTTTCCCTTAAGGGCATGAGGAGTCTGATGTTCCAACTTTCTAGCTTCTACTGTTAGAGCTGTACAAATAGTCAGGGGAGGAATTAGGACTGGGGTGCAGGATCCACGAATGAGGAATTGAGATTCAGGAGTCAGGAACTACGGTTTGGGGATAAGGAATTACAGTAGGTTTAGGGCAGGGATGTATGTCTAGTCTAAACATGTTGGTAGATTTCTGGCTGTGCCATTCTCGGCACAACTTGCAGCTCGAACGACGAGTTTTAGGAAACGGTGTGTCTGTATCAGAAATCCGCTTGAGGGTGTCTTCTAGACATTATATATATATATATATATATATATATATCATATGGAACCCTAGGAAATACTGTCCATTCGGGATTCCGTAATCCGGCCGGTCGGTCCGGCAGAAAGGGCTCAGAACTTCAAGCCCTCAACGGCTTGTAAAATGGCAGGTGCAGAACAGCGTTCTTTGATTGAACCTAAGGGGTTCCCAGAGACTCCAATATCCCCTAATTCAGGAATATACCTCAAATTATAGTAGAATCCCTAATATGAGTTAAGGAAACTTTCCTTGATTAAGGGATATTGGAGTCTCTGGGTTCATGCTTTGGTTCACGGCTCAGGGTCTACGAGGTCGTGGTGTGGCGCATTTGGCTCAAGCCTCCAAGTGCTGAACCCTGGACGTGGAAAACCAAAGCCGCTACATGGTTGAGGCTCGGACTTGAGCTGTCGGGCGCATGCACTTGTGGCAGCCTGGTGGCAGAGGGACTCCCAGGGTTTGGGTGTTCGGGTTCTTCAGGGAATTTGTTGCAGTACAGCTGGAGAGCTTCTTTAGGGTTTAGGGTCTAGGGGGTTGCTAGTGTAGGACTCTGAACGCTATTGCGATAGCCTGTCCCGACACCCCCAAGACAGCCGGCCTCCAACTTCGCCCCGGGAATGGACATGACCTGTCCGCAAAGAGTGCCCAAAGCCCCCTTAAGCACGCTATTCCTTCTATCAAGAGCATACACACACACATAAATACATACACATATACACATGTGTTGTGGAGACGTCCAGCCTCTCGCGCATTGAGTAGCTCCCGGTAGATGAAAGAGCTTGGCCCCTGCCCACACGCGAAGCTCGGTATGTGCATCGGGAATTTTCCACTTTGGCGCGGACAGTCAAGGGGTTGGGCGTTCAGGGCTTACGGATTGTCACTGTTTACGGTTTAGGGTGCAGGGTTCATCACTGCTAGGGGCGCTTATGGTTTAGGGTTAAAGATAAGGAATGCATTCCAGAGTTGCGGCTTAAGATCGGGGGCCAAGAATCTCGGAAATCAGAACAGGCTCTCAAAGATTAGAAGCCTTCACCCGAACCCCCCTACAACCTTAAAGCCCTCAACCCTCACAACTCCCTAAACCCCTAAAGCCTTTGCACCTTGAGCCCTACAGTCACCTTGAGCCTTGAATCGCTTACATCCGGCCTTCTTGAGAAAGCTCGGCAGCTGCACGAGATGAACCTCGATGGCCTTGGGATGGCTGCGCCATCCACTTCGTACTATGCTATTTAATACTATCTTGTCTTCGATCGCATTACATGTTTATATATAAATATATATATATATAGATATATATATATACATATGTAGTGTCATGTTACCCTTAACTTCTGTTGTTAGTGGAATATTATATACCCTGAACTCTGCCTCCCAAAGCCCTGGAGCACCGAAACTCAAAAACCGATCCCAACCGCAAACCCTGGAAGCCCCGGGGGCTCCCGGCCCGAATCCTACTTAAAGGATCATGGGACTTAGTAGCTGGGGTCCTTAAGGGGTCCCCTTAAGGGATCTATAGGGGTACTATAAGGGTTTGGGGCTTAGGGTCTACTTAAAGGATCATGGGACTTAGTAATTGGGCTTATAAGTAAGGTAACTGCGATTATAAATTAGAATTACTTATAGCCCCAATTTAAGGTACTTACAAGCCTGCTTACTAAGTCCCATGATCCTCCAAGTACACCCAAAGAGCCTCAAACCTGCACTCCACACCCGACCACCCTCAACCCCAGACCTTCGCCTTGGCTCCCCTTATCCTAAACTCCAAGGGTAAAAGGAGGGACCCTTAATAAGGACCCCTAGGTATATACCCTTAATATAGCAATTATATAGCCATTATATAGCCCCATTATAGGGTAAGGGTCCCCATTAAGGGTCCCTCCTTTTCCCCTTTGATAAACCTCTAAACACTGAAACCCTGAGCTGTGCATCAGGCCCTAAAACCCTAAACCCTACCTAAACCTCTAAACCCTGAAACCCTGAGCTCTACGTCAGAGTCCTAAAACCCTAAACCCTAAACCTCTGAAACCTAAACCCCGAAGCCCTATTACGAAGGATGCGAAGCCAGAAACCCACGCCCTGGGACTGCGGCGAGTTCCCTCTCCTCTGGGGGCAGCCCCTGCGTCCAGAGACACAGATATCCAATCACTTACCTCTGGTTAGTAGGGAATGGAAGAATGGCCGTATAGTGGTCATAATTGTACCCCATTCCTCAATTCCCTACTAACCAAAAGTAAGATTAAAGGTTAAAGGAGGAGGAGGAGGAGGCTAGGGCTTCTCGGATTTGCAGTGCCTTTTTGTTTAAGAATCCTGCCGTTGTACTGCTCGGTAATCCTTGAGTTGCAGCGTGCGGCACCGGAAAGGGCGAAGGCGTGGGCTTTTCACACTCCCTGCTTTTAGAAGGGGACCTCGGGAGTCCAGGGGCTCTCGAATGAAAGCTTCGGGGTTTCAGGCTCGAGCTTCGGCTTTGGGGATGGTTGGGTTTTAGGGTTTAAGGTTTAGGGGTTTAGGGGGTTTAGGGTTTAGGGCCTAGGCCTGAAAGCTTCGGGGTTTCATTTAGGGTTTAGGGTTTAGGCGGCTTTGGGGGTCCACGCCCGAAGCCCGAAACTCGAACCCGGCCTGAGACCTGAACCCTAGGCCCTGGAACCCAATTAAAGTCTGAAGAATTTGAGACACTACTCCCTTGAACTCGAAGCCCCCCAGACATTGAATCATAGGCTTAGGCATAAATTCCCTTGCCTAGGGTGTGCATCGACACGGCTAAACGGTACTTACAAGTGAGGTCATAAACAAGGCAACGTTTGCTGTCATTCGTTATAACCCTCACTGATACACTTGCAAGCCTGTCCCATAAACCGTGGAAGAGCTTGCAAAGCTTACTGCGACTTCGGTTGGACGTAGCGACTCATCGGCTCCAGCGAAACGCATATCTTGGGGCTGATACCTTACACCTTCATCCCGGCCGAGAGACATGACTCCTCCATCCACCCTGAGCCAATTACATGATACTGATTTATACCGTAGCTAGTCTAGTATTCCCGTATTGCGCCGTACTATCTTATACTATACTATATTCTATCATGCTATGCTATATTCTTTGATGTTCCGTCTCGTTGGCCTCATGGCCACCCATGCGGACACAGCGCGAGGCGCGCTGCACCAGGTCGGAGTGCCTCACTTGTCCGACTTTCGGGCTGTGGGCGTCAAGAGCATAAGGCTCAACCAAAGCTCCGGGCGAGCCGAAGTAGGTCACTATAGTATACTATTGCTTGCGTGCTCTTGTACATTCTGGTACATTAAGAAAGGGTAATACTGTATCATGTGTTATAGTAGATTCTGCTGGATGGAAAAGCGAAAAGGGTGCAGTGTTTCGAGCTCCAGGCGTTGAGGTGGTGTAAAAGCCCTCAACCTTTCCAAAAACTCAGCCCGACCCCAAAACCCTACCCCAGGATTTCAAACCCTTATCACTACTTGACCCTTGACCCCGGAGACGCTGAATCCAAAAACATTCATTTCGTGACCCTGAACCTGAAACAGCCCTCCCCAAATAGGCCTCGCCGGCACCTCAACCAGATGCAGCCGCCGCACATGCTTGAACTGGATGCCCTCGCCCGCCTTCACGCAACGGCGTCAAAGCTTCTGCTTCCAGGCGCTGGGGATTTCGGGGACTCTCAAAGTTTAGCAGTTTAGCGCCGATACCTTCAGGAGATCAGATCTTCAGAGTAGGTCCTGTAGTCCACACATCCGGTGCCCTGGCATCCCCGACTTTTGCATCCCGGACGTCATGGTCGAAGGCTGGTCTCGTGGTCCGCGCGCTGCCTGAGAGGTTTCGGCCACGAGGACACGGAAGCGCTCGCCACCTGCGGACGATCGCCAAGCAAATGTTCACGATGGCAGGAGGAGGCCCAATATGATTCCATGCTTCTTGTACACATCGTGTCGCAGGTAAGTGCAGAATTCGCACTGGGAACAAGGACCTCAACAACGTGAAGTGTAGAAGCCCTCGGTGGTGACAATCGGTAGCAGGCAGAGTCGTGCCGGTCCGTCATAGCACAACTAGAAAAGCTCAGTAGCAATACTGGCAGCAATGCAGTGGCAATGGTCGTGGTCGTAGTCGATGTTGCGGTCGCAGTCGTAGCCATGGCCGTAGCCGCTGGTGTCGTCGTCGTCACCGTCGTCGTCGCAGTAGTTGCAGTAGCAGCAGCAGCAGCAGCAGAAGCAGCAGCAGCAGCAGTAGCAGTAGCAGTGGCAGTCGCAGTGGCAGTCGCAGTGCGGAGTGGCAGCAATAGCAGTAGCAGTGCCAGTGGCCAGTGGCAGTGGCAGTAGTAGTCGTCCTCGTAGGACGAGAGGCAGGAGGAGGACGAGGAGGAGCAGCGGCAGCAGCTGAAGCAATATGCAACACGAGCGCCGCACGCAGGTTTCGGCGTGCATCGTTGAAATCACCTCGGACGGAGGGGCTGTTCACAGTCAGGCTAGGGTGCACTGACGGAGATTCTTGGGGTGTGGATTTTCGCGTCTCAGGTGCGTGCACAATGGAGCACCAAACCGCATACATTGCATTCGGACTCACAAACACGACTTAGGGTTGAGGAGTCCGGGGCTCCATCGAGCAAAAGACGTCGAGGCTCTTCCCAGGATTTGTCATATTGTATGTAGATATCTGGCTACCTATGTGATGCAGAGGCTTCAAGGGTCAGCCCTCTCCTTGCATTGCAAATCCAGGCGACAAACACTAAAGTACTCGGGATAAATCATAACACATTGGTTCCGAAACCCTATCTAGCTGATGGGTCCACTCCGCGTCTGGAGCTCCATTCGATGCATAATATAACGGAATTGTTGAGGCTTCTTGAACGCCCCAAACTCGAGGAACTTAAGCTCAACAGCCGTAAACTGCAAAATGCGAAACCCTAACCCCCGATAGCCCGACCCCAACACCCAACACCAATGACACTAAAGCCTACAATGCTAGTCATTGAACCCCACAGCCCCGAAAGCCACAGGAATCCGAATCTCCATACAGCCTGAGACGCAAACTCCTGAAAACGCCTGCCCCTGAACCCCAAAAATCCTGAACAAACCCAAACCCAAATTAAACCCTAATTCCTAAACCCCTAAACCCCTAAACCCCTAAACCCCTAAACCCTAAACCCCTTAAGCTCTAAAACCTGGGGAACAGGCTCAACTCCTGGAGGGTGGCCACTTTGAATCCGTGCTTTCGCCCCGTTTTTCGGAGAATCTGCGCGTGGCGGCGTTTCGGGTTACGGGTTAAAGGGGGTTAGGGCTTAGGAAGTTCAGGGTTTAAGGTTTAGTCATGAGGGTTTAGGGATGAGGGTTAAGGGTTAGGGTTTCGGGAGTGGGGTTTAAGGTTTAGTAATTTGGGTTTAGGGTTTAGGGTTCAGGGCTGCGTCCGGGATTTGGAACGTGGCATGACCCATGATTTCGAGACAAGGGTACACGCTTGTGTGGCAAGGGCTTCCGACTAGGATTTCTGGCTTCGCAGGCTCGGATCGGCGAGGGTTTAGGGTCTCGCACGAAGCGGTAATTAAGGCTAGCATTGCGTCAAGACACGGGCTTGTGGACTTATATGCCTAACCCACTGACAGCCCACCTCTCTCTCAACTCCCGTAGCCCTCAAGCTGCAAAATCCGCATATAACTCGTGAAATACTGAAACCATGCAAAACGAAGTAAACCCAACATCCACAGCCCAAAAATCCTGAAAGGGAGTCTTGTGCCTCCAGCAGGACCTTGTAGCCAGACTGTCGCGACAGCATGATGACTGCCTGAACCAAGATCGTCGTACCCCTAAACCCTCAACCCTGCAGTCATGATAGCATCAGGAACAGACCACGACAGTCTCAGACTCACTACACTTGTTTGTGGTCATAACGACGACAAAGCTGGTGACAGAAGCCGTGATAGCAAAGAGGTAGGATAATAGCACAGTAGCTTGAAAATGCGGGTTGGGTTCAGGAGTCTAAACTCACGGAATCACATAGGCAGCAAACCTTCACCCGTTGCACGAACTTCCTCTGATCCTAACTCGTCTGAGCCCTTATGCCCTGAAAACCTCCAAGAACTCTCAATCTCAGATGACCGGCTACGAGCTCGCGCGGTTTTGCAAAAGCTGCTGAGGTCTCGGGTAAGCAGGAGCGCAGGCCTCGAGGCACTGGCCCTGAGAAAGGCTGGCCAGCCAAGTTCAAAGTGCAAATCCTGAAAAAAAAGCTGCGGTCGAAATCTGAAGCAAACGAAGACCACACCTCAAGGCCGCGTTAAAGACGCGGCATCTGCTGGATCACAGATCTCACAGCTTGCTCCAGCGGCCGCCGTTGGAGAATGTCAGCACCGTTTGCTGACCCTCCTTCTTCATCCAGGCCTTCATGGGAAATCCACCCAACGTGACGTGCAGTCCGAGCATCTTCTCACCTTCTTCAATCTCCTGGGTTCTTGTTGATTTAATTTTTAAGTTACCATAATAAGGAAACCGTATTATTTACTATAGATCCCTATTATAGTAACTTAAATAAAATCCCTTAACCCCTAAACCCGTACAGATCCCTTAAAGGAACCCCACATCATAACTTAAACAAAACCCCATGAACAACAGCCCAGGCTCTCCCAGGAAGGGTTGGTTGCCGAAAGGTTGCTGCACGGACTTCACGGAGGAGCCGGAGACTTTCAACTCCACGGGCTCCTGGAACACTGGAAGGGGTCCTAAAAAAAATCAGAATGGGGCTCCCTTTAAAGGGGTCTATAAGGCCTATAAGGGCTACTATAAGGGATCTATAAGGATACGATAAATATCGGGGCCTTAATAATTAGAATATGGTTTTGGGGCCCATTATACTATAATTCTAATATAGGAGCACCCAAAATAGTATCAGCAATGGACAAAGCCCGCTTGGGAGCGCAAGAGTTTTGGGCTTTACGCTCCTGACTGCCAGTCTTTTCACTGGTGTGGGCTGGTTCCCTGTAGACCCTGTTCTATCCCTATAGATCCCGTATAAAAACCCTTATAGATCCCTGGTAAGCCCTGTAAACCCCTACCAAAACCCTGTAGATCCCTTATAGACAACCTCTATCTCCCGTATAAAGCCCTGTAGATCCCCTATAAAACCATGTAGAACCTTACTAGATCCCTAAACCCTAAACCCTAAACCCTAAACCCCTAAACCCTAAACCCTAAACCCTAAACCCTAAACCCTAAGCCCTGTAGAACCTACAGATCGCTCCTGGACGCCAGGGATCTTCCACTTGCCCGGGATGGCACCCTTGCCCTCCGTGGAGCTCATGGAGCCAGCCGGGATGAGGTTGCCCAACCTAGGCTTTCCCTAGGGTTTGGGGTTTGCGGTGTTTTAAAGGCCCCTTCTCGAGGCGCAGATCGAAAAAAGGGTTCAGGGTTTAAGGTGGTTTTTGTGTTTGCCTGCTTTCCGTCTGCACTGCACAGGAGTCTATGCTACGAAAAGCCCACAAGGCAGGCAGATATTTCGCCAAATTAAGGTTTAGAGTCTAGGGTTTTTTAAAAGTGCATCGGACTTTAGGGGTTAGGGTTTAGGGTTTCCTCTCAAAAGGCTTTTTTTGAGGGTTCTACACAGACACACAAAAAAATCCTTTCACAGGTTCCTTTACAGCTCTACAAGGGTCCCCATAAGAATTACTATGTTATTGTACAAGGGCTCCTATCAGGGTTCCTATGAGGGCTTTGGTATTGAGGCCCCTCATAAGTGAAGTCTTGCGGGGGTCGTCGAGGGTTTTATGTGGTGCATACGAGCTAAGGAAATCAATGTAGGTTCTGCAAGTTCCGATAATCAGGATATCTCGTAAGTACATGACCTCCCTCAGCTAATTCAGCTTAACTCAGCGCATATACTTGAAGATTTCTTTACAGCAAGAACCAAGCAACTTCTCCCCATCCTTGGAGACTGTGGTGAGACGAACATCACCGTCATCTCCCATGGCGGAAAAGTGATGATTTTGCGAAAGCGTGGGCTGGTTCTCTGGTTCTCGGAGGCTGAGCCAAGACGATTGAGGTTCGAGTTTTTGAGGCCAGAGCACAACATAGAGAATGTAGGGGCCTTAACAATTTGAACAAGGCTTTGGTGGTTTCCTATTATAATTATAGTATAATATATACCGCCTAACCCTCTTCTAATTTTTAAGGCCCCCCCCCCATGAGATGGTGATCAGCAAAAAGAGGCATCGCAGCTCGGCACTCAAGAATCCGAAACTCTGGACTTACAAAGGCTTTTTGCGAAGGCTGCAGGCCTTCTCCTTGGCCCTGGCTATGGTCTTTGCCACGCCGTAGAACTTCGGTGCATGATCCTGCGACACAAGGGGGGAATTTCAACAAGGGAGGTGTTGGCACACGATCCTCGCTATTGCCATGAATCTCCTGAGCCTTTACAGCTTTGTGTCGAAAAAGGAAGAGGAAGGAGAAGAGACAAGATTGAAAGAACAGTGCAGTGCGACTGTAGGTGGAAACAAAAATTGCAGGCAGACACTAAGAACTGGACAGAGGGGGAACGGGAGTCGACTTTAAGTCGGCAGCATGGTGTAGTCCTTCACGTTGGCCAACAGGCTTGTTCTCTTTGCTCCAAAGTAAGCACCTGCGACAACGAATGCAGGACCCTGACGGTCAGTCTCTAACAATGATCTCCAGAAATAAACAGCCGCTGCCACGAGGGCATACATTAGTAACGACCATGGCCAAACTATGCCAGATTTCATTGAAAACGAGAACCATAGCAGCTGTCTCAAGTTTGTGGGAAAACAATGCCCTGGGCTTGGGACCATGGAAGATGTGAAGGTTGCAGTAACTCGCGAGCCGAGCCAGGCGTTGCTCCTGGTGGGGCCCATTGCTTCAAAATCTTCTTAGGGTTTGGGGTTTAGGGGTTTAGGGGTCTTGGGGTTTAGGGTTTAAGGTTTAGGGGTTTTGGGGTTTAGGGTTTAGGGTTCAGGGGTTTAGGGTTTATGGTTTAGGGTTTAGGGCACTCTTGGGTAGAGGGTCCAGGGTCTTGGGCTCAGGGGTGTTTTCGGCTTTAGGGCACGGTGGTGGCCGGGTTGAGCATGCTTTCCTCCTGACTCCCGGGAAAGACTGGATAGGACGCCCTAACTCATCTAAGAGGCCAAAATTCCGAATGCTGTGTAGAAGAGTGGCATCGAAAACGGAAGTTAGCCTCCCCCCCAAATGGAGGTCCGCTAAGTGCCCTGCTTTCGGCATCCATTGATACAAGATCCTGCTGCTTCGGTTGGGTGATTAGGTTTATAGGGTCTAGGAGGCAGACAGCGTCGCTCCTCGGAGAGATGCAGTAAGCGCGGCGTCACCTTGAACCTGGGCTGGTTCTCCCGATTGGTGGAGATGTTGAGGACCAGGGTTTCGGGGTATATTTCTAGGAACTAGACTAGTTCTCTAGGGATTATAAGTAAAAAAATATTATCACTATAGTTTGCTTCATAAGACTATAAGGGAATCATGTTACCACTATAGAATAATTCCCTAGGGACCAGAAGGAATAACATTGCCACCATAGTCTTATACTTTTGCAAGCACTGTACAGGAATCAGGTTACCACTATAGTATAGCTACACAGAGACTAGATGGGAATAAGATTACCACTATTGTCCAACTCTGTAGGGACTACATGGGAACAGTATTACCACTACAGTCTACGAAAGTCTATAGGGACCATCAGGGAATAGCCCTACCACTATCGTCTAAGCAAACGATATTACTAATCATTTGGGAGTTTCCAAAAATGGGGGACCCTCATATGTTATCCTAAATAGTAGGATCCTTATTATACGCACTAACCCTTTTTTCGGAAACTCCCATTTAAGCTGCTTGTCTTACATGCCGGGGCCAAGGCTCCACTTCCTTCAGGAGGTAGCGCTTCAAGGCCTGGCTCTTCGGTTTAGGGTTTAGGGTCGGGAACTCTCCATGGGGGTCGAGAAGACGATGTAAAGTGTAAGGGTTTCGGGCTTCGGGCTTTGAGTTTGGGGTCGAGCAAGTTTTTTGGGGGTTTTATAAATGTCCCGAAGACATTTGGCAGAAGGTTTTTCGTCAGAGACTAACAAGAGTGGCAAGTCTCGCATCCTAGCCCGAACTCCAAAACAGGAAGTGGACTTAACCCGTCAACCTTGGGTCATGTCCCGGTGGTTCGCATTCGCAGCACTTACGGCATGGACGTAAGAGCATCTGGCCTAAATCCTGGCCCCTCTGCACAAACATACCATACTACCTCAAGCTTCCAGATTTTTGATACAAGCTGCGATTAGAGTCTCGTTGCCGCGACCTTCAAACGATCCCGTCAACAGCCCCGAGCAAAAGAACCTTATCATCACTGACTCACTGTCGCATGACAAGCCTCAGATATTTGCAGAATCCTTTCCCGTCTCACCTCGAGACCCTTCATGACCACGATGCCAGGCTTAGGGCGCAGGAGTTGCTAATCAGTGGGCTTGAAAGACGCTGGACATAACGAGACAAAAGAACAAACACAAGACTGAAGAGGCCCTCCTACACCCTACCGGCATAAACCCAAAGAGGCATGGGCGAAATTCAGGAAGAGCCCGCCTCACCATGCAATGAGTGCTTCTTGGTGAGGTCCTGTCGTGCTGCCGGGCTTGCGGTGTTCTGAGCTCGGGGCGTGAGGGTCTCTGATGGCTTCAACGATCAGGCTTAGGGATTTAGGATTTAGCCTTCGCGGTTCAGGGTTCTTCTGGGAGTTTCCGAAAACAGGCGACCTTAATTTAGTACCCGAAGTAGTAGGATCCTTATTATACAGACCCTAGAGTAAGGTACGCCTAATCTTCGGCTTACGGTTCATCGGCTTCGGGCTTGGGAGGTGGACTCGAAGGGGCTGTCATACTTTCAAGCTTCCAGGTCTCTGGGCTCCTTCTTAGGGCTGTAGAGGTTGCCGGTTTAGGGTTTGGGGTTTAGGCTTTCGGAAGGCTGTAGTAGAGGTCGGGAGAGCTCAGCTTCTCAAGCGGTTTCCGATTCAGGGGATGCGGGCTCAAGGTTGAAGGTTGAGCGGTCGAGGCCTGCGGGACCCAATGCATAATTGGCGATGAGATTCCCCTAGAGTTCCACACGTTCTTAGAGTCCCGTCTAGTATACCACAAGATCATGCTAAGATGGGCGCGTTCAGAGCATCTGCTCCTGGAGCATGTCGTCGTGAAGCACGCCGTCGGGTATTCCCCGAACTGGCACCTGCCGCGGATGAGTTCTTCACAGCGGAAATCGGGTTCCTCAATGAGGGAACTGCATTAGATAAGTTTAGGATCAGGTCGTGGGGCTATCGTGGGGAGCTAAGATAACACAGAACCCTAAACCCTAAATCCGAGCCCAAGACACCAAAAATCCCAAGGCCCCCCGAAGGTTACGACCGGATTTGGGCCTTTAGCCGCGGCGTTAGAGTCAGCGCTTGAAGCTTCAGGCTAGGGGGTGTTTGTGGAGGGCTGTGAGGCCTCGGGACTCCGAAGTTCTGCAGGGTTGCAATTTTTAGATTAGGGTTTAGGGTTTAGGGCTTAGGGATTTCAAGTTCAAGGCCCAAGTTTTCGGATTTATTAGGGTTGCGCCGAAACCATACATGTGAGTCCTTCAAACCCACGCAGAATCTGCACCCTTCCGTTCACAACCCGCACAAGCCAGCGACAAACAGGCGCCCAAACAGTTTCAAGAGGCTTGGGGATATCTTCTGCGACAACTACAAAAGCATGGTGAAGGAACATGAATACTTATGCAGCATTCATCAATCATTTGCTGAAGCTGAAAATCCTCAACCACCGCGAAAGCAAGAAACGAGACCCTAAACGTCCTAAACCTGAAGATGGGCCAGGTAAAGCTCCGAACCTCTCGCGGGAAGTCGTCACTGGCGCGGGCGTGGAAGCAGGACAGAAAGCCCTGCCAACGGCAGAACGTAGCCAGAATAGGTTTCGGGGCATGCTATACTCGAGATAGATAGATAGATTGCTAGGAGGTAGGTGGGTAGATAGGTAGGTAGATTGTAATGGAGGAATATTCGTGACGAGTGTTGCGAATGAGTTTTCGTTGGGCCCACCCGTGGCTCATGGAGCCATTGAGTGCATCACCCTGGCTCTTTCTTCTGGCCCCTTGTCTCTCCCATAAATTGCGTGGATCCGCTGAAGGTGCTGTTGATGCCTTCGCAGCATCCTTTAAAGAAGCCTGGGACAGAGAGCTTCACTTCTGCTTCATCTAGTTCTTCCATCCACGATTCATAACCCGAACTCCTCACTCGTGGCTCGGGCTTGCAATGCTTTAAAACCAAAGTGGAACTTCAACTGCGGAAAAACTTCTTCCACATGCTGAGGTAATAAATTTGGAGGTCGTTCACCCCAACAGACAGAAGGCCCGTGACCTTCAACACCAAGAGCCACAGAATCCAGTCTGCAATTCAGCGAATCGAGTATAACGAAAGCCAAACCGAGTTCTCTAAACAGCCCAGGCCTGAAACTACTTGGAGGATCATTGGACTTAGTGAGTAGGGTTATAAGTTCCTCAATTAAGGTAAAAAGTAGTTATAACTATAGTTACCTTACTTATAACCCCAGTTATGAAGTCCCATGAGCCTTTAAGTAAAGCAAAGCCGTCCGACACAGAACTTATGACCCAGGCCCTGAATCTGGCCTCATTGCTCTGGGATTCTGCGCCCTGGCCCTGGGAACAGGTCGGTGCTGCTTTGCTTTTGGGGGTACTGGGATTCGGGGAGGAGGTACTCAAAAAGTATGAATTTAGGTGTGTTAGGGATTCGGTAGGGGTTTAGGGTTTAGGGGTTTTAGTTGAGGGTTACTTCCAGCACGCCATATCTGCCACAGCTGGGGGTTTAAGGTTTACTGTTTTCGTTCTCAGATGCCTCTTCTGACATAGGCCGCACGTTTGAGCCACAGTCGTACCGCAATTGATAAGGTCTAATGGTGAAGTGGCATCCAGATCAGCATGATGCCTCATCTCGCAGCGTTTGACTCCATGAAGCAGATTGCTCTGCAGAACTCATGCCGACAATGAGGAAATACCACGACGGCACGGAGCATTAAGCTGCCAAACCTCGGCCCTTGAGTGTTGGACTTGGGGTTTTTGCCTAGGGTTTGGGGTGCTGGGTTTAGGGTCTGGGGGGTTTAGGATTTGGGGCTTAAATGCAGGGTTGCACCGATGATCGAGGCTGAGCTGCCTTGATGACGTCCAGCAACTTCTGGCCTCGCAGAAGGATTTCGCGAATCAGGATTCGTCAGAGTGCTTGAACCAGTATGACTGCGAAGATAGGCAGTCATAATCACTGTGAACGACGAAGGTGGCCTGATACATAATTGCTGCTTCTACCTTGACGAACGCAGCCACTGTGGACATTGTGACTAGGTCGTGCATGGTACGGCGGTTGATGTGACAGTTGTCTTGAAAATCCGCCTCGAATAAACTACAAATCCTAAACGACTCGAAAAAACACATAGGGAAATCAACCTGGGGAACCCTAGAACTGCGGGTTTTCGTAAAGCTCTAGATCCGAAAGATCCGAAGGAGCAGAGGCCTTCGGCTGCCTCGTTCCCAACCTGCTCACAGCCGGTAGGACACTTAACCGCGGATTTGGGGTGGTTTTGGGGTTTGGGTTTTGAGGCTTGGGGTCTGCGGGTTCAGAGTGTATATATATATATATATGTATATATATATATACACAGTACATATATATATATATGTGTCTATATACCTGAATATATAAATATAGCGCTATCGGCTTCAACTGCAACATCAGCTGCCTCCCAGGCCGCCTTCAACTCCACGCGCACGCGCGGTGACTGAGCTCCCTGCCGGCGTGCCGGTGAACCCGGCCAAGACGGTCCGCGTTGCCGAATGCTGCACAGGGAGCATCGAGACAGAAGCTCTTGAAGGCTAGGAGCCTTAAGAAGTAGAGTAGTTCAGGGCCTTGGGGTATATTATATACTATAAATGCAAGAAGGAATGCTGCGGAATAATATTGGTAAGCAAAACTCGCCTGGGCTAATTCCGCACGTCCCCGTCATCATCTGTTGTGTAAGCGTGAGCACCTCAAACTTACCGATTTCACAAACGTGGACTGACAGAATGCCCTGTACTCTCACTCTCACTGTCGTCATCACAATCTCCATCTCCAAAGAATCTCACCGATTCTCCTACAAAATTGAGCATCGGGTTCAGAAACCTGAAAGCCCAATCTCGGGGAATTCAATATGGAGGAAGTCTTACACCATGCTAAGGCTTTTGGGCTCTCGGATTTCTTGTGTAGGGTTTAGGGTTTAAGGGTTAAGTTTAGGTTTAGCATTTCAGTCTTAGGTTTTAGGGCTAGGGTTGCAGTTGCCTCCTTTCTCGCTGTGTCCCACCCACGAAAACCTGGCAACAGCCTCTGACTGCCACGTGCGAGCCCTTCAGTCCGGAAGCTGATGTTCTTCTGGGAGTTCCGACATCAGGGGACCCGAACAAAGTATCCTAAATAGTAGGATCCTTAGTATAAGAACTCCCAAACCAAGGTACCCCCTAAGTTTTCGGAAACTCTAAACCCTAAACCCTAACCCCCTTTATAGAACCCTTATAGTAGCCCCTTGAAGGAAGCCCAAAATTTGTCGGAAACTCCCCTGGTAAGTGCCCCGGCCAGCAGATGGCGAAGGTGGCCGATCTGCTCCTGTTAAGCTTGAACTAAAAAAGGTGCTTTAATAATTAGAACAGGGTTCCTTTAAAGGGGTCTATAAGGGCTACTATACAGGGATCTATAAGGATACTATAATATGGTAAGAGCGCCTGGTACGTGACCGGCGTTTTGTGGCGTAGCTGAAACAGGCAATGTGCTAAAACCTAGGGAAAACATGTATTATGACTAAAAAGTTGTGCTAGGAAAGGCGGAGAATCCCTGTGACAGGTCGATCGTTTTAACGAAAAAGGTGTTGCCGCTGCAGTAAAAGCCACTTTTGCGAGCACCGCGCTGCGCAAACTTGGTCTGAGTGGACGTTAATATGGTTGACCCATGCATGGATGCTCTGCGTCAATGAGATCTGGTCTGAGTGGACGTTAACATGGTTGACCCATGGATGCTCTGCGTATCTCTGCGTCAATACCATGGACCACCCATGGATGGTTTCGACGTGGGTTGTAGCAAGTGCCGAACACACCGTAATTACCGGTATGTTCGGCATATGACCCTAAGGAAACATGGCTTCGATCAGAACTTGAGCTTGGGCCTGCCTGCGACAGAAGTCCGCAGTTCTGGGAGTTAAGGGTCGGGACTGGCCGGAATTAGCCCCCCCCCACCCCCCACCCACACCCCCCCCACCCAAGAAAAGTGAGGGGACGTACAGGACGCACACCAGGCGCTTTCACCTATAATATAGGGACCTTAATACTTAAAACAGGGTTTTGGGGCCCATTATACTATGGATATAATGAGGAACCCCAGAATAGTGTAGGTAATTATTAAGGCACTACATTATGCCGCTTTGAGCTTTCGGGATTCGGCGCCTGGGGAGTTGAGGAGCTTGCGATTCTACGAAGGAGTGTGGGGAGTTATGTAAAGTCTACCACAAAAAGTGGGGGGAGTTATGTAAAGCCTCCAAAGCAAATTTTGAGGGCAGGCCAGGCGGGTTTTTGGGAGTGTTGGCTGTAAAATTATCAGGATTTGACTCCTGCGGTTGATGATATAAATCCTGCATTACCTTAAGGACCCTGAACTATGGGAATTATGGTATATTCCTTACTATGGGTAATGCAGGATTTATATCATCAACCGTGGGACCTTCAAGCATGAGCCCACCTCGTGAGCGAGGAGCCCCTTGCTGGGCTGCAAAGACGAGTGTGGCTCCAACCTAACATAGGGGCCTCAATAATTAGAAGAGGGTTTGGAGGGTATAGTATACTATACTATAACTATGATAAGGAACCCCCAAAATAGTAATTATGATAAGGAACTCCCCAAATTAGTATAGGCTATATTCTAAAGGCCCCCGTAAATTAACATAAATTAACTTGCAGCAGCCCGCTGAGGCCCTTGTTTCTTGCACCCCTGTGCAGGGGCCTCGAACATTTGGTTAGGCCGCACAAGGTTGTGGCACTCGTCCATGATGATCACCTACGTCGGCATCATCAACAAGACTCAAAGGCGAACCAGAAGCTCCGAATAGTAACACCTCGAAGCAGATCCCAACCTCTACACTCAAAACTGAGCGCTCTTCAACCCATATGCGCTAAAGTTGAACACCAAACGCATCCGTAGGACTTTTGACCTTCGGCAAAGCTCTAAAGCACAGCAACAACAGGTCGCTTAGTTGCAGGACCGCCGTGCCATGCCGCGCCTTCCAAAGCTGCAGGGATACCATGCAAAATCGATGTTCTGGTTCGAGTCACATGCGAGGAGCTCTAGACTCTTAGAAGAGCGCGAAGAAGAATGCAAAACCAAGCTCAAGCAAAAAGAAGCCGCTGCTGCCTTGCCAGAGTAGGGGTTCAACCTCGACACATGTGGAGCGACGCGGATCTACAGAGAAGAGGGTCTCGGAGGTTAGAAATGAGGCAGTCAGATCCAAAAGTCTCGGCACCGAAAGATCTCACAGCAGCAGACCCCGAGAGATCCCTAACCCTCCCAAGACAAAGCCCTAAGACCCTAAACCCACAACCCCAAACCCTCAATCCCACTCTCCTCCTGAGCCCCCGTGCTCCGTCGGATCGAAACCCACCTTGAGGATGGGGCTCTTGGGCCAGCCATCCTCAGCACAGAGTTCCCAGTCGAGAGTTTACGGTTTAGGGTTTCGAGTGCTGGGGTTGTGGGTTTCAAGACTAGGGTTCTTAAGAGCTTTCGATCCTGGATCTGGGTTTTTTTGCATTGTGGGTTTTGGCCTTAAAGAGCACTTGTGCGAAGGGTTGTCTTGCGTTTGGTTTACAGAGTTTCACGTTTTGGATTCGCACGCTCAGTGAAAAAATGGTCTAAGTCTAGGCGTCCATTTCCCGAAATGTTATAGAGGGAGGGGGGGAAAGAGTACGAGGGGGGGTTCTCCTGATTTTTGGCTTCTCCGTTTTCCGTCGTGGTACATGTGTAGGGCGGAGAGAGCCGTTAGCACAGGGGTGGGGGGGTAATTCCTCCGGAGCAGGAACCCGTCCGGGTGCGGGGAGGGCGAGAAAGAGTACGAGGGGGGTTCTTAGTCCAGGAGCAACTTGATCCGCACTAGGTATCTGTATCTAACATCTAGATCAACGCGACCATGCAAAACGTAGTTGAGGTCTGTCCTGGATTATGTGGCTTTAATGTAAAGGCCATATAACTAGAAATCGGTTGGGGAATTGCGTACTGGATGCTTGAATGTTAAGGAACTTCCAAGCCATTTCCAATTACTCATGTCTCTATAAATATTACGGTTTGAGATGTTGAGCCTCCGACTTACATGGGCTCGCTTTGCTGCAGGCACCGAGATCTTACCACAGAGAAGGCTGCGAATTTGGCAAGAAATCCGACGAAAACCTCAGACTTCGAACTCTCCGCATCACTTTGAGTTTAGGCCCCTGCCCTGTCCAGCGCAGAGGCACCTCCACCCGCTGTGGTGTACCTGAACGCACCTGGGCCAGCAAAGCATCGGCTGACGATTCCATGCTTACTGTCCGACAGGGGCCGAAAGAATCCTGGCGCTGCCGATAATTCGAGACTTTGATGATCTACGAACTGTCCAACCTCTGATCCAAGACCTCAAGGACAACTCGAGCGACAATCGGCATGGCCACCCACCCGTCAGGAGTCTTGCATAATCCCCTTCGCGCTAGCATCATGCTCACTCTCATGAGCACAGCCCTGCTGCTCTTGCTGACACTAGTGCCAGTTCAGATTCTGAATATGATTACGAACGTCATCATCGTGATCGCCAACACAGCAGTCGTCTTCACCACGAACCCCGTTTTCGCCAACGCAACCATAAGCAGCGTCATCACCATCATAATCACAACCGTTGTCGCCATCATAACATGACCCCGTTCATGATCAGCATAACCTTCATCGTCGACAACATCATCAACCTGTCACACCATCGTGAGCCATTATCGCCGCTGCAAACAATATCACCACCATCGCCAGCAGCAGCAAAATCACCAGTCGCACCATCATCACTAACCCAATCATCACCACCAGCATCATCGCGATGACCGGCAGGGGCATACTATGATGATTATTATCAGTTACTGCCACTCTGTATATTCGTACTGATGCTAACAGTGCTAGTATTGTTGTATTCTTCTTATTATGATCATCATCTCCTGGCTGTAACGTCCGAGCCACGCAGCGGCGCTTTGGGCATTGGCGCGTCAGGGTGCTCCTGCGCTTGGGGCTGAGGGCTTAGGGTTTTTTTTTGGAACGCCTTTTTGCGACTGCCAGAAGACTCTTCAAGCTACGCAATTCGTGTGACCGGAAGGCCCTGATACCTCAGCTCTCTTGCATCTCGTTTCGTGATGTGAACTCCTTGTCGAACTCCCTGCTGTTATTGCCCTCTTCGATGGTTTAGGGCTTAGGGTTTAAGGTTTGAGACTTAGAGTTTAGGGTTTAGGGTTTAAGGCTTTGGGTTTCTTCTCCTTCTTCGGCCATTGCAGAATCCGTCTGGATGCGGGCAAATACAAAAACATGCAAGAATTAGGGATGACCATGCGCTATGCTAGGAAATCCTCCAGAAAAAGACACTCGGCCGAGAAGTCACTGAAGAGACCGGCAAGTGCAACCGAATTTTCGGTGCACGGTCTTTTATCAGCTCTTCCCTGGCCCCTCGTACCCCTAGCCCTAGCTCTCTCTTGGAGATCAAGTGAGGATGCAGCTTCCTCAGAAAGGCCTTGGCCACTCCTCCTCAGGGCTTGCAGGCACGGCTGGTGACGACGTATGTGTTTCAAGGCACGGGTTCTCGTCTGAAAGTCCGTAAGACAGATCGGACAAGTACTCGAGGCCGTGAACCGGCGGGCAACGGACCTAAGGCCATGGGCATGCGCAAGATGCGCAGCCAGGCCGGCCTTGGTTTTGGCTTCGAACCCACAGAGCGAGCAACCCGCAGGCTTGGGCATCGCTTTGTCCTGGCTAACCAAGGCTCTGTCAGGGCCAGCGAGGCGGGCAGCACGGGTTCACAGGCGCCCGTGGATCCTCCGATAGAGGTGCGGTGCAGCCTGAACCCAAGCGAAGACTTCATCAATGCTAGGGTCCAGGCGCCAAGCGGCTGGCAGGTGACGCGGCAGAAGGCTGGCTGCCCAACGAATGTCACCACAGACCTCCGAAAGCCAACAGCGGCGAGCACCGATACCGGCCTCGAGGAAAGCAAGAACAGGGTCACAGGCTGACTTGCAAAGTTGGCCCAGCAGCTGCAATCTCTCAAGGGACAGCAAGTGGGCTGGGGACGGAAGCCCGGCACCGTCGCAGATAGCCTCCTGATCTATGTGCGCGTCGTGGCGTGCGGCGGCTCCTGTCAAGAGGCACTTGTATATGCGCAGGACGCCCCCTTGCCAGAGAAGCGATTCCGTGCGAGTCAGGCCGGACCAAGCACCAACATTATGAGTGAGGCGGCTCAAAACGAGGAAAAGGAAAAAGGTACGCCGGGCTGAGAGGCTGAGTTGTGGGTTCGCATAGACTCGCCTTCGGAGCTCCAGGGCTGCAGCAAAAGCCTCCCCTATGCGACGCCGGATCTCAGGCAGGAGAGAGGAGGTATCGCAAACGAGGGACCCCAAGTGCTTGTACTGCTGCACAAGCCGGACCCCAACACATGGTCCCACATCAGGGATGGCAGCAAGCACAAAGGACTCTCCTTGCAGGATCTGGGCTTTCATATCCCGAGCACCAGGACCCAGGGGAGAGACGACCCACTCCGTCTTGCCCGCCGCGAAGTTGAGTGTCATCCCCCTTCTCCGGAAGGTGTCAACGACAACTCTTGTGACACTCCTGCAGGCATCAAGAAGAGTGCTAGCGGAGCTCGCCTGGATACCTATATGGCAATATCATCGTGCCAGGCTGTAGACACAAAGGGAGATTCCGGCTGGGCAGGCAATGGGAGGATTGACCCCAAACGAAGAGGCGCGGCCAGCCCCAACTCACGCACCCCATTCTCAACTTCAGCCAAGACATCATGCAACATCAAAGCAAAAGCAGCATCAGCCAGAGGGTCCCCCGGTCTAGTGCCACAATCTGTAGCAACAAACCTGCCACTTCCGGGAACGTGGAACCAGGTGCTGGTGAGCACCCCTCTTAGCGGCTGCACGTGAGCAGCCCATGGACGGTCTGCCGGTGGTTTAGACTCTAGCGCGGCGACGATCTCTGCAGTATGCTCCGGGTCGAAACCTCGTCCATTGAGCCACTCCGCCATCGAGGCTGTAGCACTGCTGGTACAAACAAACTGGCGGAGCACCGAGTAAAAGGCCGACTTCAAATCCAGGAACAAAATCGCGTGAGGCCGATTGCATTCCCTCATGTGATGTTGAAACGCTTTGATGCTGAGCGACAGGACCGAGGGGGCAAGCCCACCGCACATTCCACCATGAAGCGGAAGCTTGTGAGGCGCAAAAAGGCAGAGACAAACAAGCATGGTAGCGCTTACCGAAAAATTCGGAGACCAGAATACTTCGATAGCTCTCCGGATCAGCAGCTGGGCCCTTGCCCTTGTAAAGGGGGATTGCCTCGCCACCCCCCCACCTCAGTGGCTCAGCCCCGCAACAGGCAGCTTTGACAACAAGTGGGTAAGCAAGGACCGCAACTGCCGGCGTGGCTGCGCAAGACCATCGATCCCCCGAGCCTTGCCTCCTTTAAGGCGCCGGAAGGTGGATTCCCATTGGAGTAAGGGAGGAGGCGAAGTGCCAGGAACCGCCTCCCTCCGATGAGCACAATGCTGATTGCGAAGCTGTGAGGAGGAGCAAGGTTCACCACCTTCAATGCCACCGAAATGCTTCTCCCAACGATGGCTAACCTTTAGCTGCCCCGACCCAGCCTTATAATAGGCCGCCTAATAAACAATTAAAAAAGCAGCTACCTAAGCAGACATCAAAGCGATCAGAAATGCAGAAACAAAGCAAGCAACCAAGCAATTCTGCCAGCATGCCGTAGCCGGATCTGCAAAATACTATAGGAAAAAGCAGAATTCAAAGCAAAATCAAAGCACAAATGAGAGCACTGCCACTCTTTCAGCTGGTTCAAACATAGTTTCCCACTCACCAGAACAGTACAGATCCCTCTTAACAACACTCAATCCGAAAATCAAAGAACGATACCATTCCCTTGTAGTAGCACATGACCAGCTGGGCCACAAGGCAAGAGCGACAATAGGGCAATACTCAAACGTGACAAGGGTCGAAAATCTCGACAGTTTTGAGATTCCTCACCGCAATCAATACAACAATCTCTTTTCGTCAAATAAAACAGAAGGTTAAGGCAGTGACAGGATCAAGAGTTTCACGTGTCGGTATCCACAGTCGAACCCGCAAGCATTGGAGCCTTGGGCCTTGCATGTGTACAAAAACACTTGGTCAGGGGTGTAACCGTAACCCCGGTTATCGGCTATCGGCCAATACCTATTTCACGTGGGCTCTCCATGCTTCATGATCCTGAGTCCGTTCTGCCGTTCTGCACCTCAAAGCGTTGCACTAGCGATCCAAAATCCTAAACCCTAAACCCGAGAAAGGAAAATGTCGCGCAGCTAAAGCAGTGTCGACTTTCTAGTCTGTCTAGCCCCAGCGGTCCTCGCAGTCCTAGTCTTCGTGGTCCCGGCACTCCAAATGGTTTATCGCTCACTACTATAACGACTTATTCTGTGCATAGAACCTGTTTCTCAGGGAAACGCACACGCCCAGGACCAGGCTAGATAGATTGGCTGGACACAAATGCAGTTACATAGGCTGTTGCAGCTAGCGGCTACCTGCTGACTGGAAGGAATGATCGGAATCCAAAGTGAGTGCAGCTACTCCGCCCGCTCGACCCCAGTCACGAATCTTCGGTGGAGCACAGACAGTCTACCAGTAAGAGTCTACGCCTACGTCTATATATTTGAGACTGCTTGCTTCTGAGGTCACATGATCTGCCAGAGCACGATCTTCACACATCACAATCACTTTTCCAGTTGCGCCTGCCACATGCTCACGGTTTAAGTTTAAGTCTTGAGTCTCGGGTCGCTGCGACTGTGTCTGCCACCAGCAGCCCCTTCGGGAACCAGCGGCACCCGCAGTCACCAGCAAGCTCAGCAGGAAGTGTTCAGCCGAGCTGGTTTTAAAATGGAAAACCGACTCAACGCGACCTTCGGATTCGGGACCACTGCACTGCCGCTTCCGCTATCCGACCATCCTATCCGCACACGTACTCAGGGAACCGCACGAAAAACTCAGGGTGCCTTATATTATAACTACAGGAGTACCAGGAACAGTAACCGCTATAGCCATGGCCACCGCCTACACTGTGAACATGTGAAATATGAAGCAATGCAGCCCGTGCCCTTGCCGCCTGAGTTGTCAGCAGTGGCAGCTGGCCCCGTACGTGTGCACAAAACCGCCCTTCTAGACTGTAGACTTATTCTAGGTCTAGGTTCTACGATTCTCGGCGCTAGGCTGCTGCAGGCTTTCTCGACTCCGTAGCTGTAGCAGAAGACACTTCAGGGCCTGTTCAACATTTGCACGTAGCCGCCGTAGCCTTTTGCACGTAGCCTGAAGCCTTAAGCGCAATCTATATTATATCATTATGTGAATCCAATTCTGCCTCTGCGCATGGGGCCGTGGAAAATCCAAAGTCTAAACTTTGGAGTCTATACTAACATGGGGGACTCGACTCTACTTAAACTCTACTTTCCTCCAATGAAACTATAACTATAGCAGTAACTGAGTAACTATGCTTTGCTTCGGGAATACTTCTGGATTCTATGGCCTAGAGTATGGCTGGGTCCTAGAATCCTGGAGCCCGATTACAAGTTCCAACACACGCACAGAAGCCACCGCTGCACTGCCCAGAAGCATCGAGCCAATCTACTCGATGAGTGCCTTTGCCTCTTTCAAGAGAACTGGCTGGAACATATCCTCCGTAAGGGATCGCCCTGCCATTTCGGCAAGCTGGTTCCTGATCAAGTCTTTCGCCTTTGCTTTCACATTGCTAGTGAGCGCATGACAGAAGAGTGCCTCGATGGTGAGAATAATGCCTGTGGTGTGGCAAGCCTTGGCCTTTTCAAGGGCACCTCGGATGCTCTCGTGATTCAACTCGGCGTCCTTGTACTTCTCCTGAAACTTCCGGAGCAGCGTCTGGGCCTGTCGGCCAGGGAGAACATATAATCAAATCGAAACAAAACCAGCATCCTACCACGAGGGTCTGTGTTTGCGT